CATGGCCAGGTAATAGTTCTCGGAGGGAAGCATCCTTGGTTGCTTTTCTGTAGATCTGCAGTCCTGGTTATAGAGTTCTCCTCCTGCCCCTTGTGGAATGGACACAGCTGACTCTCTGAATGCCACAGGAAGGTCTGCTGTGAAAGAAGAGACCCTCTCTTGCCCTCCTTGATACTATTCACTGTCACGAAGGGAAGACCCAGGTCACCTAGATTTAGACTGAAGGTCTCTGGAGGTGGCTGTAATATCTGAGACCCGCAGCTGTCCCTGAAAATTCCCACATTCTCCCCTGAGCATCTACCTTCCCTCATCGCCTTCATAGAGCTCAATCTGATTGTGGTGAACCAGTTTTTGTGCACTATCATTATGGACGCCATTTGGCAAAGTCTTCAGGTGGCATAATTACTGGCCTGATACTGTCAGGGCTAATCATTTTCATTATCTTGGCATCTAGCAAGCAGCCAATTTTATTTTGTATTTATTTATTCATCAATACCTCTTTCCAGAGGAGATTCAAAGTGGTTTGTAAAAATACACTACACGCAACAAGATAAAACAAATTAAAAATGAGGAATGAGACTTGGATGCAGCAACAGTATCTGTATCTGCAGGCAGATGGTACCAAGGAGCTGGAACAGGGTTAGTTCATTGACCTGAATTCTTGCAGCTGAAATCTGTGCTAGTGGAGATGATCTTCAGTGGGTGAAGAGACTTCATGTGAGTTCATTCCACTGCTGTCCTTGAGTACCCATTCTATTCTCTTGTCTCTGTAGACTATACACATCAGCAAAGGTGACACTACAAGAAAGGGAACATATGTAGTATTTCAACTCAGAATTGCAGTCATTCGCCAGACTTTTTATTTAACTGATGTTAATCTAGTCTTTGCCCATGTATAAGGGGTGATGTATGCAAAGCCATTAGAAAAAGACCTGAGTATAAAAATGTGTCATGACGTACTCTCACTACAATCATATGAAGTGGTTGCAATTGTGAGCTTGAGATGTGCAGCTTTTGGGGGTGACTGAAATACCTGCGTAGCATTTTCCCTAGACCAAGTTATTTAATCTCTACAAGCCCGTTTGCTAGTCTATAAGAAGGAGAAACAAGAATATGTCCTGTATTGGAAAGTAAGTGAGGCAGTGTATACGGAATATCTATAACAGTACTTAGTATACTATGCTCTGAACAGTAGCCATTGTGATTATTAAAAGGTAAAATCAAACACATTTAGTTCAAAGTTTAAGTTGGCTTTTATTTGTGATTCTAGATTTGAGAAACATCTCACTCTCTAGATTAAAATGGGAGTTCCAATGTGTGAAGCAGAGGAGACTGGTTTTATAGACCAAAAAGGGCTGAGGAAAAAGAAACAGGATAATAATCTGGTCCTTTTGAAGATACTTTCCTTATAAAGCTTAAAACAGAAGGGGCTTCCTTATCGTGTCAACTGAAACTGCTCTGTTTGGCGATCTTACTATTATCTCTCTCCCGAGTCCAAGCGATAACCTCCTATGCCTTTAGTGTAGTGACATTCTTAGAGATCTCTTTCCCTGTTCATGGAATCTTAGGAAGAAAAGGGAAGAGACCCTAGTGTTGTAGAACAGGAGCAGCATTTGAGCTTCTTTGGTGCAGTCATGCTGTGTGAGGATGCAGATTTCACAGCCTGGACCTGAACGCAGGTTTCCAGAGGCAATTTCTGCTTCCCTAACACCTGTTCTCTCTGGCTTACAGTGACCTCCCCAGGCCATATGCTTCCCTGAGGAGACACCTCCTTCCTATCAGTAGAGACTTGAATGTCTCTTGGGGTAGTGGGGAAATGAAGTGGGTCTCTTGACTTGTGTCTTCCCAGTGAGGTCTTCCAGAAGCCCAGCAGTTGTGTCTACTTCTTGGGCTGAAGTGATGGGCGATGGAGGTTCATGGAAAGCACAGAGCATTTGGTTCCAGGAGCCTTGGTGCTGTTTATTAATTGTTTGCTCTTAAAAAAGTGACTTAACCATTTTAAGCCCCATTTAACTCAGCAATAAAGTGGAGAGAACTTTGATTTCTGAATGACGAACAACTTAGTGATTGAAGAATATTTGCAACAATTTCATGTTTCAGGGGTTTTCTGTGTATTAAGCACAGTGTGTTTCAGTGAATTATATCTTTTACTTCTCACAGCACAGCAGTTCTATCATTGTAACTGCAGAGGTGTGAAAAATGAGACTCCACAGGTTAAGGGTTAGTTCAGGGTCACACAAATAGAAATGACTAAGTCTGCATCTGGTGCAGGCTCTGTCTTGGGGCCCATTTTCTCATGCATATGTGAGACTCCAGCCTCATCTTTATGCTGGATGGTTCTAGACATCATGCAACTTCCAGGATGCCAGGTACTACACGTTGTTATTATGAAGGTAACTATTCTGGATACAGTTGTTTTTCAAGTACCTCATGAGGACCTGGAGAACGCCATGTGTTTTGTCAGGGCTGGCTTTGTTGTGGGCGTTTTGTGACATTATTATTTTTAAAATTTGGGGGAGGGGATAAATGATGCATGAGGTTACCTGATCACCACCATTTCTTAATTCATTTTAATGAGCCTCTCATGATGGTCCTGTTTAATGGCTTCTGTTTATTTTGATAGTCTGAACTCTGCACACCTGGCAGTGTATTCTCCCATAACATCACCTTCTATCCTGGTAGACCATGTATTTCTTCTTCTTTTTAAAATGCATCACCCAAGCATAGCTCCCTTGAGGTAATTGCTTCTTGAGAACAAGCATCTTCACCTGCCTGGTTCTGAGGAACCAGAAGAATGCCTCCTACTTGGTAAGCTCTCAGAAGATTCTTATTGAATAAGTATGAGAATACAGGCTCTTCTTTTCTTTGGTTGGACTGATCTGTGGAACTCATAAGAACACAGCAATTGTGACCAACATAAGGTAAGATTTGACCCTAAGAATAGGAAAACAATCTGAATATTTATACCTTTATTCCATCATTAGATCAGCTTTTATCAAACTTTGAAAATTTTACTTTGTTATTTATATTAAATGAGACCTTTCTCAAATTCAGTTTTTGTTTCAAGGATGGAAAGAGGACAAGTAGAATCACCTTTTAAGTTCACATTACATATTTTCAGTGCATCACATTACTAGCAGCCAAATCACAGAGACAGAAGTACCCTAATACTTGGCAAAAATCCCATTTGTATTAGAATACTAAACTCAGTGTGATGGCTTTATCCCTTAATGAACTTTGCAAGCTAATTCTGGAATGGCTTGATTCATCTGACTGATATTGATCTGGCATTTAAAAAAATGGGACAGGTCCTTGGAAATAAGAGGAGAACTTGGAAATAAGGCCATGTTGCTTGGCAGGAAGAGAGAGGAAGAAGCCACCTGGCAGGGAACAAGCTGAGGAGACTCTGTCCATGCCTGACTTGTATGACCCTTGGTCTAGCTTCTGAGTCTCTTCTGCTTATATATATATCAAACACAACCTCAAAGGAAGGCAGAGTTGATGCTGAGCTTCAGGGGGGCTGTAGACTGGGAGATAAGACTATGGAATGCACTTAAGAGCATGTTGCTTATGTGATCCCAGGACTTAGAAAAAATGGTTTTTATGGTTTATTTATTTACTTAATTGACAAATGAAAATTGTGTTCTGGTTTGGATCTGGAGTGTACTCCTCAAAGCCTTGTGCTCAGAGGAGGGGCTTTGGGAAAGTGATTGGATTATAGAAGCATTGAACTCAGGCATGGATTAGAGCTCAGAGCTAAATGTGCTGTTAGGAGGTGGAGGTCTGGTCTGAAGGGAAAGGTCTCTGGGTATGTGACCTGGAAGGGTTTATTTCCCCTGCGCTTCCTCTCTTCCACGAGCAGCTTTCCTCCAACCAGGCACTTCCGTCTTGGCATTGACCATGCAAAGACTGGAATTTCTAAAACTGTGGGCCAAAAGAAATGCCTCTTCCTTTAAGTTGCTGGTTTTGAGTATTGCATCTGGTAGAGAAAATGACTAAAATTTATGGTGTATAATGATGAAATATATAAATATTATAGTTGGCTAAACCAAGATAATCAACACATTTGATTTCACATACTAATTTTTGTGTGGTGAGAACAGAAAATCTCAGCAATTTTGAAATACATAGTACATTTTTATTAACTGTAATCACATGTTGTACAGTGAATCTCTTGAATTTAGTGAGCTTTCATATCCTTTGACCAACATCTTGTCTGTCCTCTCACCCCAATCCCTGGTAACTGCTCTTCTATTTATTCATGTTTAAATTTCTTAGATTCCATGTATGAGACTATGTTTGTTTTGGTACTTGTCTTTCTATTCCTGGGTTATTTCATTTTATCTACTATATTCCAAGTTGATTCCTGTGGTCAAGAATAACAAGATCTCCTTCCTTTTCACAGCTGAATAGTGTTTCATGGTGTGTGTATATATTGTGCTTAGAAAAAGTAATTCTAAGTGCATGTGAGTGAGGCATGGTATGCACCTTCTGTTCCTCACCAAAATGTTATGACTCTGGATTTGTAATCCAAATTGAGAAGGAGGTTGAGGTTCAGAAAAGTGAATTAACTTGATCAAAGTCCGAAAGAATTTAAAACTGCATCTGAACGTAGAGCCCTATTCTCAATACTATACTGTGAAGTTTCTCCAAGCAAGTGCTGGCTCCATCTGAAGCTGACAGAAGTTCCAATATGGCATCTGCAGGGTTTGGAAGGAAACAAGGAGCCGGGTTCCTTCTTTGCTCCTGCCTGTTTACATTGAAATTGTGATCTATTCACCTCACTACTTTGTCCTGCATAGTCTGTCAAAAAGTGGGATTTGCAATCTGGTTACCACGGTCTTCTGAAATGTTAAGTGAAATAAAGTTTATGAAAGATAATGAAGTGCTTTTCCATTCTAACAGGTCATTACTATTGAACAATGGTCAAGCCGTAGTCACTTTATCTTCTGTAAGAATCTACTATTTTTATTTTCATTTTAGCAGAGAGCTTTGGTTTCATGGCAGAGAACGGTACCGGAGTGGTGGAATTTGTTCTGATGGGCTTCCAGCTCCAGGCGGCACAGGGAATGGGTCTCTTCATTGTGTTTCTGGCCTGCTACCTCATAACCCTTGGGGGCAACCTGGGCATGATTTTGCTCATCCAGAGCGACCCCCGGCTGCACACACCCATGTACTTCTTCCTTGGCCACCTCTCCTTCCTGGACAGTTGCTACTCTTCTGTTACTGTCCCTCAGTTGCTAAAGACTTTGGGGACCCACAAGGTGATCATCACCTTTGAGCGCTGTGCCACCCAGTTCTTCTTTTTCACACTCTATGCGTGCACTGAATGCTTCCTCTTGGCTGTGATGGCCTATGACCGCTACATGGCTGTGTGCAATCCCCTCCTCTACACGGCTGTGTGCAATCCCCTCCTCTACACCATGGCTATGACACCACGGATGTGTCTGGGACTGGTGGCTACTGTCTATGCGGGTGCCATGGTGAATTCTGTGGTCCGTACTGGATGCACCTTCTCCATCTCCTTCTGTAAGTCCAACCACATTGATTTCTTCTTCTGTGACCTCCCACCCCTGCTGAAACTCGCCTGCGGTGAGACTCGCCTACGGGAGCAGGTGATCTTCCTCTTGGCTTTCTTGGTCATTACAACTAGCACCTCAGTGATTCTTGTGTCCTATCTCTTCATCATTCGAGCTATTCTGAAGATTCGCACGGCAAGTGGCAAAGCCAAGACCTTCTCCACTTGTGCATCCCATATGACAGCAGTCGCTCTATTTTTTGGGACACTTGTATTCATATACCTGAAAGGGAACATGGGAAAATCCCTCTGGGAAGACAAGATTGTGTCTGTGTTTTATACCGTGGTCATCCCTATGCTAAACCCAATAATCTATAGCATGAGAAACAAGGAAGTGAAGGAAGCTTTGAAGAAAGTTCTCAGAAGAATGAAGGTTTCCTAAGCAGAGTAAGACTAAGCTCCGTTAGTCTACAAGGCCCTGAGGATCACCCTTTAGGCTTTCTCTTGTCCCCCTAGCACACAAGGCAAATCTCACAACAGCAAAGGTATGCTTAGGCAGAAAGTGTAGATTTAGATTCTGGAGCTTCATTAGCTCTATGATCTATTGATCCAGAAATACTTTGCCTCAGTTTTTTCATCAGGAAATAAAAATCTGCCTTGGTATGGTTGAAAGTCCAGAGCGCTTTAGCTAGGAGCAAGAGAGATGGAGTAACAGAGAGCTTTGCAAATAACAACCTGTTGTAAAATGTAAGATTTATTTTTCTGACCTGTGCTGAGTTTCACTGACTCTTTTCTCAGCAGTGACTTATTTTTTTCTCTCGATGTTAGTTTTTCTGTCTAGAATGATTACAAAACAATGATATATATATATATATATATATATATATATATATATATATATAGTTGTTTGTTTTGTTTTACACCCTGAAGGAAATTAAATGTTTTGATTGTGGATGGTGGGGTAGATATAAATCTTTACTGAAAAACCTTTCCTTAGCATTCATTCATTCAAATTAGACATTTGCCATGGAAATATATAAGCAGCAAAACAAGAAAATAATAAGAGGACTGGAGACTTGATCTGGAAAATATTCTACTAGAAAACGTTAGTCTGTTTTCCAAGATCGCAGGATATATGACACTGTATGATGGACACATATGTGTAATGTCACATTATCTCTCTGGTATGAGAAACTGAAAGTGTATAATAGAAAAATGTATAATAGATATTGTGAAATAGGAAATAATTGTTCAAAGGGAAAGGGGAATGGGGGGATGGAAGGGAAATGGGAAAAAATGAGACAAACAGGATAAGATGAGAACAAAGCTTTGTAAAAAAGGAAAGAGAGGTTGAAGAGTGGGGAAGGGAATGAAAAAAAAGAGGAACTAAGTTATATCATGTGTAGGTACTAATTCCCTTTGATGGATGTAATCATTATGCACATATGAATTGTACTAATAACCTTAATAATCAAAAGAAAGGAAGGAAGAAAGGTATAAGGGTCTGATTTCTTATTGGAAACAATCTGATGTCAAGGTAAGGCTGAACTGAATCCCATGAATAATTTTGTAATACTTTTGCTCACCGAAGAAGAGAAGCACTATTCATGGACCACTGCTTTCTGTTGTTTTCTGTTCTCCAATACGAAAATGCACTCTCATTTCCTCTTCGACTTTTACTTCATTGTAAAAGATGGATAACTGTGAACCTGGTTGTCACCTTTCAGAGACCTCCATTTCTGCTAGAAATGTCATTTAGAGAACATCTCCCTGGACACCTCACAATCGTATTTATCAATTTGGCAAATATTTAGGGACCACAGTATCTACTATGCCTCAGGATGATATTAGGCTCAGAATAGGATAATAAATAAGATAGACATGATTCCTTCTGCATGGATATTAGACCTTGGTACATAGACAGGTCTTAAACCATGATACAATTAATTAATTAATAATTTTAATAATGTTGCTACAATTTTGGAAAGTGAAACAAAAGAAAAAACAGGGAATTGTTAATTTGTCTAATAGAATACTAACCTAGTTTGGCATGGCCTCTGCAAAGATCTAAAACTTAAGCATAAATCTAAAGAGTAAGTGTATGGGAGTTGTCAGTTGGGGGTGTGCTTCCAGATATGAAGATCTGAGATGTGAGCCAGGCTCCACCACGGGGATTGGGAAGAGACTCAGCAAGAAGATGAACCACACCTTCCTGCGAGCCAGGCTGTGCCATGGGGATTGGGAAAAGACTCAGCTGAAAGAAGACCAAGTGCAGGGTTGGGAGGGGGGACTACAAGTGAGGCAAAACTGGTAACTTCAGAAGAAACTGGGGCATGGTGCCTTTCAGTTTAGTTAGGGACTTGTAGATTTTATTCCAAGAACAGGCAATCATGTGGTTAGATCCAATTTTTAAAAGATTCTTTTGGCTGCAATGCCAGCTTGGAAAGGGGGCTGGAAGTGGTGGAAATGGAAGGACATAGACTCACTTTGTACAGTGAACAGTTGCTGTGTGTCAGGGCATGGCGGTGCTTTTTGTGAGACGATACTGTCTGCTTCACTCCAGAATCCATCTGCGGCTGGAGAAAGCCAGCAGGCACGTGATGTGATGCTGATTTGGGACTGATTCGTGGAGAGATGTTGAAACTGGGGACATAGGAATGGGAAGTGCCCATCCTTCCACTGGCTCATCTTTCCTTCTGCAAACAGCCAGACTCCCCAGGTGTACCAAGATCTATACCACCTGTCCTACCCCTTAGGGCTCAGCACATTTTTATTAATCTCCCGGAACACATCAGGCTGTTCTAAGATACCATCTTTTGGAGGAATTTGTGTGTAGAAAAATCTTTAAATCAAAAAAGAAGTGGACAAAATTTTATATTTCCTCTTTTGCTGGGGGTGGAAATTACCTTGTTCACCCCATTTCTTCTTTGTCAGTAGTAACCCACCTTGATTATATATTAATGATACTTGATTCCAGTACAGGATTGAATAATATGTAATTGCTTCAAGTATGTACAAAGTGAACAAAAATAAAGTGAAATTTAAGCATTTCTGGTTTGTATAAAAGGCACTGGAAAGAATGGCGTTTCTGGTATTTTCCCAATTATGTATACTAAAAAATGAATGAAAACACTCATAAATTATGTAGTATTTGTCAAGTTCTGTCCTCAGTTTTCCCTTATCTCATCAAAGTTCTACTTTTTTATAAAATTTTATTTTAAAGAGGGTAAAATTAAACAGAATAAAATGTAATAAAACAGATCATAAGAAAACAATGTAAGCAACACAGATTTCAAAGCAAGACAACTGGAGATCTTCACTGTCTATCACATTGTCTCTTGTTTTCTTCCAAATATTTGTCCATATCTTCACATACAATGAGTTCATACAAAACAAAACCGTATAAAACTGATCAGAACAGGATGATGAAGGCATTTTAGGTCTTTAAGACCAGACAATAGGTAAGTCAACCATGGTTGCCATAGTGTGTCTCATTCTCTTCTTCAAAATAGCTACCATTATCTTCATGTATGTTGAAATTAAACAAAACAAAACAGACTAAAATCACGCTGAACAAAGAATAATAGTATTGTGGATTTCATATCATGATGCTCCAGAATTAGCTCTGGGTACCATAGTGTCTCTTTTTCTTCAAAGCAGCTGTTCATTTCATCATGCATTATATAATCAATTCTCATAAACTATTTAGAAGTTCTATACATGCATGAGTCTCTACATGTATACCTATTCTTTCTGTATTAGAGGGAAAAACAAAACAAAACAAGACAAAACAAAGCAAATTCCTAGAAACGAAATTCCTAGATAATGAAAAAGACATACAAACAATAATAGCAAAGAGCCCAGAGCACTGACAATACAGGCCTTCAAAACAAGGCAGGCTGAGTGTAACTAGGGTTGTTATTGTGCATAATGATCTTCAAGAATTTCTCAGATCACCATATAGTAATGTGCACAATTGTTCCAATCCTATAAATGTTGAATATTTTTTAAAATTTTATTTAGGGAGAAAAAGAAAAAAAAACAGGAAAAGGGTACAAGTAATACAGAATTTAAAAAAAACAGTAAGAAATCACTAGTTAATAGATTACATATTGCTATCTTAGAAATTGTTCAAGTTACAGAATTAAAGCATATAAAGTGGACATTCGAACAGTGAGACTGCAAACAGTTCTGTTCAATGATCCAACAAAAATTCAGAATATGGTTTTCTATCTTATATGTTTAAATATACATGCAGTTATATCCTTTAGAGCACTTTGTTTTCCTCTCTTTTTTACAATGACAATTACACATTTTGGGTTTTATTACTCCCACAGTTCTTATTACTTTTTTTGAAGAGAATAAAACCAAATGTGATATAACAAAACAGAGTCAGTCAAATTAAAAGGATGGACATAGTACGTAATGTAAAAACAGAATACAATGTGATCAACAATGGTTACTATAATGCTTCTTGCTATCTTAAAAAGAATTACCTATATCACGAGTTATAATAAAATTGAACAAAACAGTAAAGAACAAAACCAATAAAACAAAAATATTGGAGACCTTACAGGACTTCAAAAGAAGATAATAGTCAAATCAAAATTGGCATCATAGTGAATCTTATTGTCTTCACAGTTGTTGCCTATACTCTCAAACTTGGTACTATCAAGCGAAACAGAATAGAGTAAAATCAGTCAAAACAAGATGGTGAGAGCAACACAGGGTTTCAAGTCAAGTTAATAGGAAATCAAAGTGGGTTACTATAATATATCCTGCTTTTTTAAATTTATTTTTTTCCTTTAATTAAAAAGATAAAAATGAAAAATAAAAATAAATAATAAAACAGGAGATTGAGATAAAAGAGGCCATAACAACAAAACAGCACAGGTCAGAACATAACCATTTAAGCAAAATAATGTTTCACCACAAGATATCCTGACATAAAAGTAGTTACCATAGTGTCTCTTTCCTTGAAATCTTTGAGTATAACTTCATATACCGTAGCATCAAACGTATCAAGATAATGCAAAACCATTCAAGAGAATGAATGTATTACTGTGTATTTAGAACCAACTAACAGAAAATGAACAATGGTTTCTGTATTATCTCCTTGTCTATAAAAGTTTTTGTTTATATTATCACATATAATAAAATCCAATAAGATACAACATGTTAAGACTGATGAAGACAGAAGGACAAAAGCTTGATGGGACTTCAAAACAAGATGATATTAAATCAGCATTATCTATTATGATGTTGTTTTCTCCAAAATAGCTGTTCCTATCATCCAATCTTCTCTGCCTCATATCTGTTGAGCTCTTTTTCTGTCATTAGTTGACAGTTTGTCTTCTTCATTTTGTTTTCTGCTCTATTCATTGTGGCCTCTCTGCCACTATTTCTGGATTCTTTGTATTTTTCTTTTTTAGAATATCCTGC